ACCCGCCTACCAGAATGGAGAAATGGGGGGGCCGGTGGTAGGAGTGGTACCGCTCTTGCCTCGCAAGCGAGATGTCACGGGTTCGATTCCCGGGTCGGTGGAAAAGTTGTTTGGACATACTTCCTAGCCCCAATTGGTCCCTGTTCACCTAGCAGTAATGTAGGTACCTGTTGTAAATCGAAAGTTGCGAATTCGTATTCAGGGAAAGTTGTTGGAACTTCCAATAACTTGATGACAAAAACGATTGACTCCTCAGGCTTCTACGCCCTTGACCCTTCAGGCTTCTACGCCCTTAACTCATGAGACATAAAGGCAAGCATGAACTTAGCATGCTTCCCTGTTGGGCGCTGTAAATGCTTCTGAGCTTCACCTTACACAGGATGTAGGGGAGTGCCCAATAATAATAAAAAAAAAAAATGGATAAATGAGTGTTAAGTAAGTACAGTATATAAAGAGTAATTTGGTATGTTAAGGACTTAAAACAGTGATAGCATAGCCATTTCTCTTCAGTGAATTTATAAATGATTATAAGATATTAATGTGATTATCCCTGTAGGTTGACGTCATTGCAATAGGCTGAGGATTAAGCACTGCGCCATCTTGTGAGGGACTAGAACACTATACAGTATTATCATTCTTGACTTCTAACAGTGATGGCCTTGAAGGAGTGGTTGTGGATACCAGGTAAGAAATACAGTAAATAAAATTATTATTTATATATTTATTTTTTATGTGGTGTTGGACAAGGGGGAGCATTGTCTTAACCTTTTCACCATGGTAATTAAACATTTTGATGACTCTCCATATACTTTGTTAATTTAAGTAATTAGTATTAAATAATAACATTAACACTGTGTGTCAGATAATTTATCCCAATTTTCCTGATTCTCCCAGAAACACCAAAAATGTTTTATACCATGTATGAACTTCATGTATACTGTACTACAGAGCTTTCACGTTCTGAAAATGTCTACCAAGTTCTGTGTGCCGTCCTGCCAGATGTATGATACACATGCTTACAGCTTGCAATTTATTTCTTCTACAAAATATCACAGAATTACATTTTCAGTGCCATTACTCTGAGAACATAGCCAGACATAAATTGTCAGAATCTTACTTTCCAGCAAAGTCCAATACGTGGTCACTGATTGGTGACTGGGTCAGTGTGATGTATATATATGTATAGTACAGTATATACTGTACAGTACATAATAATAATAATGGCAAGAAGAAAGCTATATAGGATTTTAATATCAGGAAGAGGTCTGGTAATTTACTGTAGGAAAGAATAGGATAGTTTAGTATATGACTAAGTACTGTGTGAGGCAGTGGGGAGGAAAGAAAGAAATGATGGAGAAGACGGAAATGTGTGTGTGTGTTTAATAATAATAATAATTGACGGTTTAAGATAACATGGCAGCCCGAAGGCTGAAAATATACAATGAACAGAGATGATAAGTTACATATGGTGAAATCAGGGAGTGGGTCACTTGATTAACAAAAGTAGACATCCTTGTGAGCTGATGTCGGCGCCAAGCCTGGCTGCTAAGCTGCTACCTCACTACAGCTGCAGATGCACCACGTGGTCTGGGTAAGTACTTCACCTCACACAGGGTGTTGGAGATGGTTCTTATTCCTCATGTGATGTAGTTAGGAATTCATAATTCCTCACCTGAGTTGAGTAGGGAGTCCTCACTTCTCTCCTGGTGCAGTTTGGAGTGTTTCTTGGCTTCTCATCCAGTGTTGGTGGTGGCGAGTGTACCGCGGGCTGGGTGCGTCACGTCAAGGGTCAGGTCAACTCTGACTGCTAAGTACTGATTGTCGCTCTTACAGTTTTCTTTCTTTCAAATTGAAATTATCACTTTTATATATAAGCTGTGGGTTGATCGTCAATCTTTGCACTGTACAGCTAGTGGGAGGATGTTCATAAATCCAGATGGGGAAGGGGAGGGCCTAACAGACCGGGTTGGCGGCGACTACACACGTCTTTACCTTATGAGAGTACTGGAGTGTCAGTCAGACAGTCAGTCATTTGCAAAAGTAAATTCCATTGAAAAAAAATACATAAAAAATAAATATATTCAACATCATAATTTTTCATCTTAAAATCAAATTCTATTGAAAGACAAATGAATAATAAAAAAATTAATACAGTATCATATTTTTCATCCCAATTCCTACGCTTTTACCCCTTTGATTTTTGTCTTTCATTCTTCAAAAGTTGACATTTGTATGGTACTGTACTCTCTGGGAGGCAGAGACCAACATCACACTCGGTGCTCATCCAAGAGTGGTTTGGCATCGTCCGTTACGCCTTGCAGTGTGTGCACATACGTGACACCTTCTGCGTGGCTTGAAGCTGACACCTGTTGCAGGGACTTGTGCCTTGGAGTTAGTCTTACGGGGTTTGACACAGCAGTTGAACTCCTACCAGGTCTTGTGGTATGAATAGGCATACTAAATTTTGCAATCATTTGTCTTATAACTGCTTTACTGAAATCTAGCAGTGGTGGCTGTTTTCACAAGAAAGGTGTTGTAAGAATTTAGCACTGGCAAATCAAGGATATGAAAGAAAAGTTTTTTGTACCACTTTAGAGATTTCCTCATGCAATCAACACTGGTGAGCATCATGTCAGCTTTATCAACGAGTCCAGCTTTGCATGTACAGTCAACCACCGCAGCAGGTTTCTCTATTACTTCTCCACTGACACCATTTATTTTGTCTGTGTTCACCATTTTATCCTCATGTATTGATGTTAGTACATGGACGTCACTTTATACACATTATTTTATTATTGGGACGTGACACTACCTCACCACGACTGACAGGTGGTAATTTGGCCATTATAAAACTGGAGATGCGTTCCTAAGGTTTTTTTCCGGCCCCCAAAAAGTAATTCAAGCACTTTTATGAATGAAAATAAACATTTATAAACACATACAATACAGTACATTAAATAATTTATGATATTCCTTCTTAAAACATCATGTTTATTATCCAATGTAATGCCTTTGCGGCTTCTTTTTGCACTACTGCGGTCACTTCCACTTGATGGCCTCTTTCCGGTCATCTTGAATAAGGGTAATGTCTTCTCTCTCTCTGTCATCTCTCTCTCTCTCTCTCTCTCTCTCTCTCTCGCTCTCTCTCTCTCTCTCTCGCTCTCTCTCGCTCTCTCTCTCGCTCTCTCTCTCTCTCTCTCTCTCTCTCTCTCTCTCTCTCTCTCGTACAGCTCAGTCATTATCACTTGTGGTGTTGGTTGATCAACAGGGTATACAAGGTGTTGCTATCTTCCTCAGTGAATGTAGATTTTGTTATCTCTCATGGTTGATTTTTTTAAAAGAATTTTCAGATAAAATATTTTTATTTCCATGAGAGTTTGATGCTTAACTATGGCTTGATTGACTTGTTTATTGTAAAGAGAATACAAATTGGTGGGAAACTAACACCAAGTAAAGCAATGTTGAAGCTAGTGTAAGGTCGTTATCTCCTTCACTCTACCACCAAACATTAGATTATCACTTTGTGTCCAAATATCAACATAAGATCAATGGAAATGCAGTCCATTTTTTTTAACTTATATATTACTGCCACTCATACTGTACAGCATACTTTGTCCTAAATATCTGGCAACACTGTAGAGCAAGTTGAACAGTGTTGCCAGCCACCCCTCCCCTGCTGTAGACAGTGTGGCTCTGTCAGTGTACCGTGTACGTGTTCCATCCCTGTCTGCCAAGATGAATCATTTAATAGGCGCTCTACTGTATAACTCCTGTAATATTGTATTGTGTGTTATTTTATGGTAGTTTACAGGAAGTTTATGTTTTTTGTGTCAAGTGAATAATTGAAGAGTGGCAAAATAAATATATATGTTCAAAGTCCGCGTGTTATATGGACTAAAAATGAAGTACAGTATGTATATATATATATATATATATATATATATATATATATATATATATATATATATATATATATATATATATATATATATATATATATATATATATATATATATATATATATATATATATATATTAGGGGGCAGTGAAATTTTGCTCAAAGCTGCACTCTTCAGGCATTGTTCCTTATACATATCTAAGACTCCATGCCAAATTTGAAGCTGATATGTCGAGGTTTAGTCTGCCGCATTTTCTACTGAAATTTTTAAATTCACCTCCAGTACTAGCCAAACAGCCGCTGTGGCGGTGCAATGTTCTGTTCAGTGTTTATCAACTTTTTTTTCATATCTCTTATTTCATTTAAGTTGTCTTGTTGCAGATGAGTATAGTGCTATGTCTATATTGATTATCAGCCTTTTCTCATTTCATTTCTCAATGTTGTGTTACTGTACTGTAATGTAGGGGAGACCTGGGTAAGTTGGCAATGAATATCTCACACATGTGACTCCCAAGACTGGACACGGAAAGCAGATTGCCAAAACTATTCACGAGTTTCTGGTGGAGAAAAATCTAACCCAGCAGCCCATTGTGTGTGTTGGTTGTGATGGAACCAATGTAAATGTAGGATCAGAAAATGGAGTCATTCATCATCTTGAAATGTTACTTGGTCACCCGCTCCATTATTTCATATGTCAGCTTCACGGAAATGAGCTGCCTTTCCGCGCAGTTTTTTATCACTATGATGGTAAACCAAGTGGTCCTGAGCATTGGCGTGGTCCCATTGGAAAGCAGATCAAGGAGTCTTTGTCTGAGCTTCCAGTTGTCGCCTTCCAGCCAGTCAGTTTCCCTGATTTCCCTGTGTTTAATGATGAAGTGGAGAAAGATCTGTCCTGGGATCAGAAATACCTGTATTGGATTTGTAAAGGAGTTATCACAGGTGTTGTTGAAGATGACTTGGCTGCTATTGAGCCAGGTCCTCCCTGTGTGTCAAGGTGGAACACCTTATGGAGTAGAATCCTCAGGCTGTATGTAGCAACATCAAGACCCAGCCATGAGTTGAAAAGAATTGTCATTACAATAATAAAGTTCAGTGCACCAATGTGGTTTTACATCAAGATACACCCTTACGTAACACACGGCTCAAGGAACGTATTCCAGTCCCTGCTATATATGAAACACCTGAATAGTGAGGAGGAGACGATAGTGAAGAAGGCTGTCCAGAGAAATGCATACTTCGCCCACACAGATCAACTTCTTCTTGGTATGTGTGCAGATGAGGACATGACTGTTAGAGAAAAAGCTGTCTCAATGATAAGAAAAATTAGAGAGGAGAATCAGCAAAAGGAAGAATGCACTGGCAGATCTGAAGAGGAGGAGGAAGATTCTGATGCTGCTGTTGACGAGAATTTGTTAAACTATACTGATGAGGAGGGTAAAGATGGAGATGGGAATGAGGATGTGCCTCCTGTAGTCAACATGAGAAAGGTGGTGACTCCGAAACTAAAGTGGCAAGCAAAAAACTATCATTCCATGATTAACTGGAGGAATGAACTCAAGACTGAGCCTCCTTACATTGCTGCTCTGTCAAATCTACAGGTTAATGACATTCTTGAGACACCATTAGTGGTGCCCAAGTGGCCAAACAGCACTCAGGCGGTCGAGAGAGGCATAAAAGTGATGACTGAAGCTTGCACTGAAGTGACGGGATACGAATCGAGAGATGGATATATTAGGCAAAGATTATTGTCTAGGAAAATGATGCCAAGGTTCCGCACAAAAAATAATTTCAATATGAACTTGTAATGATTTGCTATACGGTGTACCTGTAAAATAACATGTGAATTAAATCGATGTCACCCATGTAAAATTTATCATTATCCTGGAAAACATTAAATGACACCTAATTTTTGGTATACACTAAAAGTTGACAAAAAGTCGTTCGCGATGCGGCAGGGTAAGTACGTATGCATGAAATGGCATGAAATTTTGCACAGGTGTTTGTTACAGCCATACAAACGATGCCTGAAAAGTGCAGCCTGCAACTCAAATAAAAGTGTTTTTTCCCTGCCCCCTAAAATATATATATATATATATATATATATATATATATATATATATATATATATATATATATATATATATATATATATATATATATATATATATATATATATATATATATATATGTATGTATGTATGTATGTATGTATGTATGTATGTATGTATGTATGTATGTATGTATGTATGTATGTATGTATGTATGTATGTATGTATGTATGTATGTATGTATATGTATGTATGTATGTATGTATGTATGTATGTATGTATGTATGTATGTATGTATGTATGTATGTATGTATGTATGTATGTATGTATGTATGTATGTATGTATGTATGTATATATATATATATATATATATATATATATATATATATATATATATATTTTAGAGAGAGAGAGATTTGCCTAACACTGGTTGGTGATAAAGTTGTGGTAGACAGTTGGGTGCTTGTATGTCCAAGCATTTGTGCTGTTGTTCATAATGCATAATTCAACTTTGTTTTTCCCAGCTGTAGTGTTTGGCTTAAGGTTACTTACAGTGCCTTCTGGTTCTCTGTGGTTTTCAAAACAAAGTTCCATTTCAGGAGTAAGTACATGATGGGTCCTATTATGATTTATTTTGTGCCCCTGTATGATCAGTATAGGGATGTGTTTTTATAACTGTTGGCTAGTTCTGAAACATTTTTTTCTCATTTATACAAACATTTAAAGAATTCTAGAGTGCCTTTACATTTTTTTTAATTGCATCTCTAGTTTCCTCCGTGCAGTTTGAATCTCTTTCAGCACAGCATGAGTTATGTCGGATTTTCCCCCTTGTGGTCTGGTATCCTGCAGTACTGTTTGATATTCATCTTGATATCCTTAATACTGGGCCAGAAATTAAGCCCACTTCAGTAGGGACTGTTATTGCTTAGGCCTTTATCTTGGTTTAGTTGTCAGCTTGATACATCAGTTGGATTCCAAGTTAGATGTTTCAGGTTTTGACTGATTATTAGCCCTAATGGATCATCTCTCTAAAATAAGGGTTGGATTCTGCAAAGAATTTGTCCAGGTGGTGCTAATGGCTTGCGTGGTTCACAGAGTGCCCCTGAGTTGTAGTTGGGGGTCTCACTATTGCTATCCAGTGTTTTGACTCAAGTGTGTAGCTGTTATACAGTATAACAATCACAGACTCACATGGGGTAGTCTCTCCACTACACATTTTTAACCCAGTGGACAGACTAGCTCTACCTGGGGATGCTTTGTTGGGAGAAATCTCACAACTTCACTCTTCCCCACAGCTTTGAAATGGGATTTATAAGTTTATTACTGTACATGGTATTTCAGTCTTTTTTTTATAATTCATTTTCTTTGTTATTTGAAAACACACATTGTAGCTGTGCAAATAATTATTTTTATTTTTCAGCGGTGGCGCTTGTGGTATTGTTTACACTGGTGCTATGTTGGAAATTCTTCTCGGACTACACTTGTTGCCCCTGTCGGCGGAGGTATGTGTGTGTGTGTGTGATTAATATCATTGTTGTTAGGAGAGTGTAATACGGTCTTTTCTTGTAAATGGACTCACCCTTAACATGCCTATATCACTTCAGCAGGAATCTCCCCAATGTTTTGGTTTAGTGTTATGTTACCGTAAAAAGATGATTAGATTGGACCCCATTACTTATTCTTTCGTAAATTTCGAGGAAGAGATAAGCTGGCTTTCTTCTTTTTATTTGCGAGGTTTATTTCTTGTAGGCAGTGTGAATGGGTGGTCAGTAAATTGGCCTTTGTATCTCCGGTTATGGAGCTGGGCTTCCTCTTAAGGTGGCGGAACACTGGTCACTCTCCTCCAAACGTGTTTTGTAGGTGCATCTGCCCAACACAACAAAAACAACAACAAAGCGTCTAGATGAGGTTCGCCATGGATCCTGTTACTATAGTTGAGGCCTTGCAAAAGTTAAAGAAAAGACAATGGGTGAGTCGTGAAGTTTCTTTAAATGTGGCGGCGGCTGGCTGGTCAAAGAAGACCCTGAATAGTGATTTAATAATACTAAAGAAGTTTTAAAGTAATGAATAAATAGATATACAGTATGTCACCGTGTATATGTTATATTTGAAATTATTATTGTTTCATGATTTATTTAAATTTTTATTTTAAATTATATGAAGTTTATTTGAGCACTAATCCGGCCAGCAAAGATTGCCACCAAACCGTTGTCCATTTCTAGCAACAGCTGAAATCCTGCTGCTTGCTGGGCGTTTAGGCCAACGGCCAGCAAATCGGGCAACATGCTTGGAGGAAAGTGCCCAATGTGCCGCCACATTTAGTGAACTGACAGTGTTTGGGGAGGAGAGAGAATCAGATCATGAGAGGATTATGATATTTTTTATGGACAATATAAGAGCAGTGGCATGTATTACTAAACAGGAATCATCATGGTCTTTTACCCTGTAAGACATCTTCAGAGATGCTGCTACTAAGTCATCATGTTATATCACTACAAAGCTTGGTGCTGGAACAGTGAATAATTAAGCCGAAGCTTTGTCTTGGGAAAGTTGTAACTCTTTGAATGGAGTTCAGACACTGAGTTTTTCTTTGGGATTTGTTTTGTAATGGCTAATCGTTGGGCAGTTAACATGAGAGTTCAGTACAGTACTCACCCGACCTCTGACTCACTGTCTGTTAGGGAAAAACTTTTGCTCCAAATTCCCAGTTTTAGGGGGTTATATTTGCCTGAAGGGAGGTTTACTAATCATTGAGATAAGACTCAGCCATTGATGTTAAGGTTGTTTGATCCTAGGTCTAGTGACAGGTGGCTGACCATAAGATAGTTGAGACTGTAGTTTACTCACTAACTTATGCTGTATGATCCATGACAAGATCTTATGCTGTCACACTAGAAAGAAATAAGAATATATCTTACTTTGTTACTTTTTCATCTGGAGCTTCTATCTCATTCAGAAAAACAGTGTCCCATACATTTACAGAAAGTACTGTTTGTACTGAAGATGTGCATTTTTTTGGCTATTCATAAAGCAATTAAGAGAAAGCTTTTTTCTGTCTTAGAATTAGTTAATAGCAAGTTGAGGAATTCATCTTATTCATACCGCTGAAGTGATGGTAAACTTTCCAGAACACCTGAACCTGTCCTTCCAACTCATCACCAGGCACATACCACCCGGCCACAGCATTTCTGGGGAACTCCTTCTTATGTACCTGGAGAAATCCCAAGTGTTGGTCCATCTCTTCCACACTATTATACACTATCTGAAAATGATAGCCCCAACCTACATATGAAGTTTGGAGATCTTCCGGTGACACAGGTACTTACCACAGATCATGGTATTCCTACTCTGGATCTTCACAATATGACTGTCAGGGAAGCCACTCGGATAACTAACGAATTCCTTCGTCAGAGTCAACATGGACACAATATGGTCAAAATTGTAACTGGTCGAGGTTTACACACTGAAGATGGAATTCCTAAAGTCAAGCCAGCAATTGCAACCTTGTTGAATAATTTAGACTACGAGTTTCGAGAAGTGCATAAAGGAGGATGTTTTGAGGTATTTCTCTCATAAGAAGGCAGAATACTGTACCTTTAACACTCTATGGTTTTACTGTCACAGTGGCTGATGTAAAACTTTTTATTCATATTTTTTAGAAAATTTTATTAAAATTTGTTTTAGTAAGTCATAGACTTTTTTCTCTTAATGAATACAACTGATAAAGAAGAGTACTACAGTAGGATCGGGATATATCGCGAGATAGGGTCCAACGATGCTCCTCACTATATACTAAATCACGACATATAATTACATGTAATCAATGGTGAAAATAGGGTTAGGTTCTGGAGGCCAATATAAGTGACTAAGCTTGACTTAACGAGTTCATTTTCTTACTAACTAAAGCACCAATGAACACCAGACTTGGGAACAACAGGCTGTTTCAATATCAAGGGAACACCAGACTTGGCAGCAGACGCCACATTGCCACCCTCACTTGACAATCCCACACCTACTATAATGAACAAACCAAAAATATTATTTACAGTATTAAATCTTTTCCATTATGCTTTTCATTTTCTTCACTTCACTTCACACATCACTAGCAACCCATTTACTCTCACCTTAGAAATCGTAATCTGCAGCAGAGTCGGCTGCTTACTAGTCACTCACTCAGAAAGACTGAGCGGGTGAGCGTGAATGCATGGGTGAGCAGCCACGGTGGCGCCTCTGGTGAGCAAATAACGCATTTGTTTGCCATGGCGGTACAATTGAAATATTTCCTGCTCAATTACCCTCGCAAAATAAATACATTTATCGCTATACAGTATATTGGAAAATGTCGACAATTTTGGCAGTCGCGAAATATAAAAAATAATTATAAAAAGTCGCGATATATCCTGACCCTACTGTACTTTGAAGTAAATCAGAAATTTATTGTTTTGCAAAGTAGCAAGTAATATAGTACAATACTGTACTATACTATACTGTACTGTGCTGTACTGTACTGTACAGTACTGTGTTCATATTAGTGTTAGCACCATTTTGTAAGTACTTTACATAAAATTTAATTCTTTCTTCATGACATATTGACATCAAACTAATCTTGTGTACAGAATTGCACATCTGCTTAAAGGAATATTTTATGACTAAGATAAATTTATCTCTCTAATTTTAGTTTTTAAGATTAGAACATGAATGTTCACAACTACTCTACTGTCCTGCACCAGGTGTAGGATAACTGAGACTGCCAAAAATACAGTAATTAGTTTGTGTATTAATATTAAGAATATCACTGGTCACATAGGTTCCTTAATTAGGGTTTAGCCAGGATTTTGAAACCATAAATCACTTTAGCAGAACACTTATTGTCATCTAGTTTCACCTATATTGTCTTTCAATTAAACATACAATGGGATGTTCTGTAAGTTGAAGTCCAACTTGGGGTTGAATTGAGTAAGAATTAGTTCAGTCACAAGTTAAAGAGGATAATAATTATTCTGTTTACATGTTTTCGTTTTCGGAAATACATGGTGAATCACAGAAGCCTCTTAATAAAGCATCACTTTCAGAAAATGCCAAAAATGGAGAGCACTGCCTAAGTGTCTTATATCAGTGCCTTATAATCCTTCAGTAGAATAATACATGGTTATTTATATTGTCTAGTGAAGTTTATGCCTATGTTTGACATCCTGTTATTATTTTGATGCGGCAGTATGCTAAGGTAGCAATTTTAGGGATTTAAGAAAATGATCAAAGTGCAGTAAAACCTTAAAGGCACAATGTTTTGTGTGTGGGATTTGTTACTGTGAATGTTTCCAGCTGTCTGAGGTTTTGTGGCTGTGTAAGTTTTTCCTTTACTGTAAATGGGACCTCTAACAATGACATTAATTACTGTGAGTTATTTCTTATGTTGGCTTGAACTCATTAATGCACAATTCATAGTTTATATTTTATTAATCTGACTACATACTTGAAGTCCTCGGCCTACTGAAGGGTTACGTTCCTAAAAAGTTGTGGCTGTAAACCGGAGTTGCTATATAATAGACCCTATATTCCCATTGAGTTTTATTATATGATGGGAGATGCATTTCTATGGAAAAAATTTCTGACCCAAGACTTTACAGTATGCTGTATACATAATTATTTTTTTACTTTTTTAAACATATTTGAAAAAAAAATACACACACACACACACAGACACACAGACACACAGAGTGGTCCCTCGGTTAACGAGCACAATTCGTTCCAGAAGGTTGCTTGTTAACCGAAACCATTGTTTCAATGGGTTTTTGGGTAATTGGTTCCAGCTCACTGAAAATTGCCTAAAGACAACAAAAAAGATAGTACAGTACCCTTACTTAGAGGTGTGTATGTAGAAGGCTCCTGGATGATGATGATGATGATGGTGATGATGGGAATTAGAATGGGGGTGGAGGAGAAGGGAGAAGAGATGGCATTGGGGTGGAAGAGAATTCACCCCATGGTGCCATTTCACCCTTAAAATTTTAGTTCACTTGGTGTAATTCAAGATTACTTTCTTTAAATCAACACTGCACTGCATTATATATTGTCAATATGTAAAATAAATTTGAAAACGACCAATAATTTGCTTGCAAACACAGAAAAAAGCATTTAGTTGAAGAGTCTCAAGCAAGATGTTACCTCCACTGAAAAGACACAAAGACTGACGCCTGTATGCTGTGTTGGCAGGCTGGATGGCATGCCACAAACTAGTGACCTTACCTTCAATTATGTTCAATAATTGTTAAAATGACTAAAAAATTTAATATTAAACTTTTAAAATGATTGAATAGTATAAACTTCTTGATATTTACTAAAAGGGTAAGGAATTTAAGCCCAAGAACCAATTACTGTATTGGCAGAGTACTACTACAGCTGGTGGACCGCCAAATGCAAGCTAAAACATGTGGAGGTCGGCTCGTAAGAAACTCGTTAATCGAGGGATTGCTCGTTAACCGAAGTTAAGAATCTTATGGAAGGTAATTCGTTAACCGAAATCTCGTTAACCGAGGGACCACTGTATAATGTAACAAATGGCAACTCCACTTCGGACAGGGAGCAAATCCACGTGTCAGTCGAGCCATGATTCACACACGTGCCACTCACGGCTCATGCCAGTCGATGCGTGGGGGAGACCAGATGCTCAATGCTCCCAGTACTTCACAACTTTTATGATGCAGTACAACTATTTATGCATTTTATTGCCTTCAATACAACGGTATATGATTTATAAAATATTAGTGATCCCTCGGTTAACGAGCACCTCGGTTAACGAATTACCTTCCATAAGATTCTTAACTTCGGTTAACGAGCAATCCCTCGATTAATGAATTTCTTACGAGTGCCCCTCCACATGTTTTCGCTTGCATTTGGTGGTCCACCAGCTGCAGTATTTGTCCGCCAATACAGTAATCGGTTTTAGGGCTTAAATTCCTTAATATTTTAGTAAATATCAAGAAGTTTGTACTATTCAATAATTTTAAAAGTGTTATATTAAATTTTTTTAGTAATTTTAACAATTATTGAACCTAATTGAAGCATAGGAAGCTAGTTTTTTTCACACCAAACAGCTAGTCAACACACCATACAGGCGTCAGTCCCTGTGTCTTTTCAGTGGAGGTAACATCTTGCTTGAGACTCTTCAACTAAATGCTTTTTTTCTGTGTTTCCAAGCAAATTATTGGTCATTTTCAAATTTATTTTACATATTGACAATATATAATGCAGTGCAGTGTTGATTTAAAGAAAATAATCTTGAATTACACCAAGAGAACTAAAATTTTATGGGTGAAATGGCGCCATGGGGTGACTTCTCTTCCACCCCAATGCCTTCTCTTCTCCCTTCTCCTCCACCCCCATTCTAATTCCCATCACCATCATCATCCAGGAGCCTTCTACATACACACCTCAAAGTAAGTGTACTTTTCTACCTTTTTTGTTGAATTTAGGCAATTTTCGGTGAGCTGGAACCAATTACCCAAAAACCCATTAAAACAATGGTTTCGGTTAATGAGTTTTTCGGTTAACGAGCAACCTTCTAGAACGGATTGTGCGCGTTAACCGAGGGACCACTGTATTGTTAGACAAAAAAATCTGATATACAGGTTCTCATAATTTATTAATGTGTATACATTGACTCAAGAGTGTGATCCATAACTTGCTATAATATCTGAATATCCTTAAATTACCTTAGACCAACTGTGTGTATTACCAAAAACAAAATGCATACTGTTGTACACGCACACACACACACACACACACACTTTTTAGATATTTATTTCCTACAGAGTATATAAGGTATGGGTACTGTATATATGAATATAAAAAGTATTCCATATTGGCTTGGTATCGTATTAGTTAATGAAGTACTGCTGTGCTGTATGTGGAAAGTCAACAGTCCTCTCTAATGCCTCCAGGTTCCAATTACATAACATTACAGGTTGACAATCCCTTATCCGAAATTCTTGGGACCAGAGGCATTTCGGATTTCGTAATTTTTCGATTTTCAGAATTTATTTATTTATTTAGATTTTTTTTATTGTTTTTTATTTTTTCTATAAGCCCACCTGGGCATAGATCACTGACCCACATCGGGGCCTGGGGGGGCAAAAATATTATTATAATAATAATAATAATAATAATAATAATAATAATAATAATAATAATAATAATAATAATACAGTCGACCCTCGTTAATTCGGACCCCTTTAATCCGGATTTCGGATAATTCGGACAAAATCTGAACGAACTTTTTTTTTTTTCTTCTTTTTTAAGATTTGTATGAATATTACCTACACGGACCTTAAGCTAAAATGCTGGTCCACCCACTGCTGGGATAAAACACCAGCGTCTTTTTGGTCAAATGTAACATCACCACTAGTGTGGGGGGGATGCAACTTTTAGCTTCAGACATGAAAAATATTTACCATTTACTGCCAGTAAACAATGGAAACGTAAAATTTGTACCAATTAGTAATGAAAAGTTGTGCAGTTCCGTCAGCAAATGAAGCTCACCAACCTACAATAGGCTAAATTACCTTACAACGTGTTTTCAGTAGTCTATGTTGAAGTTCTTAGCACAGGCTAACTTATCATATCATATACGGAATCAAAGTTCTCATTGATCTACAAAAAATACCGGTAATAAAAACCTTTTTGATATTTCACACTTAATATAATACCCGGTAATCTACTTCAACCTCCTATTGTTTACAACGACACATGACACACCACCAGCTGTTGAGTATCAGCTACACGGTACACGTGTTTTTCGAATCGTTTTCAGTTAAAAAACTGTTACATCACATGTATATTTTACCTAAATTGCGCCTGAATGAATATATTCTCAGAAATAAATAGTAGTTTTGCTGAAACGTGATGTATTTTAATGTAAAATAGGATAAAATACATGACGAAAACAAAAGACTTTACCTAACCTTCCGATGTTCTAGAGATGTTACTCGTTTTTTTAATAGTTTTCGGTTAAAATATTGTTATATTACAATGGTATTCTATTCATACTGTGCTTGATATAATACATTCACGGAAATGTAATATTTTTGCTGAAATTACGTACGTATTATAGTGGAAAGTGGGATAAAATCGTGACGAAAGCAATGACTTTGAAATATAATGCAATATTAACCCCTAAATCGGTTAATTCGGACAATCGGCTAAAACGGACACCCTTCCCCCCCTATTAGTCCGAATTAATGAGGGTTGACTGTACTGTATAAATAATTCATAGGTCTAGGTCGCATTTCTCACTTTTGATCTTTTTTTTTTCATTCTTGTATTTCTTTATTATTATTATTATTAATTTTATTATTATATTTTATTATTACTATTATTATTATTGTTATCATTATTATTTTATTTTGGTGTACAGTATTTTAATTAAAAATTTTATTTACTATTTACTATGAATAATTATTATTATAATTATTATTGCTATTACATTTTTGCCCACCAGGCCCCGATGTGAGTCAGTGATTTTTGCCCGGGTGGGCTAATCCCTGTTCAAAAAAAAATAAAAAATAAAAAATAAATAAATAAATAATTAAATAAATTGCCCCACAAAAAAAACTTTCGGTTTTTAGAGCTTTTCGGTTTTCGGAATTTCGGATAAAGGGTTGTCAACCTGTAGTATATTAGAATGATAGTAACTGTCTGTTCTCTTCCTGGACCTCAATAACTGGAACATAAAGTAATGTTTATTGTATTCACATTTACCCACCGAAATCTATCATACAAATAATGATATATTTTTATTATGAAGAGAATAAACAATTACACTATGGTTAAGTTAATATCAGTAAATTAATAAATGTTTTATAATCACTTTAAAGGCTTTGGACACAGTAGGTACAGTTCACTGGACTTTCAAACTGACAGGTAGACAGTATGCGGTGGTGATAGTAATGGTGATTTTGACTTGGGCTGCTTCTTTGTTTATTTGTTGTGGAATCCAAGTGGAATGGAGTTTGGATACCCTTTTTTTCTTTGCTTTCATGTCATTTTATACGAGTATACTGTACAGGTAACCCTTGCTATACGGACATTCAAGATACGAAAATTTTGCTTGTATTAATTTCCTAAATCACTACCTGGTCACTCTTTTGTGTGTCATGAAAGCTTCCCACTGAGGTAGGAGTTATGTTATGGTTATTTTCAACTGGTAATTTTGGGTAGATAAATTTGACTTCACTTTTATTTTTTTTTTGCTCAGTTTCATGCACACACAATCCTACATACATAATGTGTGTAAAAAAAAAAAGTTCAAGAAATATGTAACTATCATAAGGTCAAAAACATTAAGGGTATAAACATTTCTTGTGTGTGAGAGCAGGAGGGGAAGCATTGCTAAGGGTTGGGAGGGGGAGCATTCCTAGCTGGGCTGGATTGCCATGGTGACTCAGCCAGCATTTATGTAAATGCCGACCATGTTAAACTTTGATTTAGCATTTCCTCAATGGTTTTAGCTATCTATTATCATCTTTTTGGGGTATGATATTGGGCTTTACTTGTCATTGGAAAAATTAACTCGGTATACAAAAATTCATGTAATGAATGATTTTTGAGGAACCTAACCCATTCGTATAGTGAGAGATACCTGTAGTTACCTTCCCCTGAAGTTCCCTAACCTGTGAAATATTTGGCTGCATAATGAATCTGGGTACTAAAATAAAATATCTAAGTGTGAAACTCCATATATAGAGCTTCCACATATCGA